TTTCATTAATCTTCTACATCCTGCTCACATTTATAATTTTATTTTATTTTTTTAGTAAAAAGGATGCATATATTCAAAATGTACAAAAGATTACAAAAGCACTATCCCTCCATTTATGAATTCTATTGGAGAGAATTTCAATTAAATTTAAGTAAAATATTAAAATTCGCATTCAGACTTACGTTTTTAGCAAATTCTTAAACAAGTTAAACGTCCTAATACGGCGCAAAAAATGAATGACATGCAAATCCCAAGATTTTTCATTGTCAAAAGTGAGGAAAAAAAAAAGTTATGCACAAAATATCTTTCCTTAGTGAACAATATAGCTCAAATGAAATTTCGAAGGATGGATATGTCGTAAATATAAAACACTTGATATGTGAATTTTGAAAAATGAGTCGTAAGTTATACGAAGATGTCTACTTATGAAATATGTTATTAACTCAACTTAATTTTACATTATATCTAGAAATAGATTTTGTCATTTGTTTAATATTTACCTTGTCTTTAATTAAAATTTTTAAATATGCTATGTCATTGATGGAGTAAGGGCATTTTCTTTGATCCTTTTTCTTTATTTTAACAATTATAACCTTGTAACTTTTGTGTGCATTTTGCAAACTCACGCACTTATTTTTAGAAGGGCCGAATTTATTATGCAGACCAAGTGACTTGACTTGAAATTGACTCAAACATTTGGATGATGACTGATTTTTTTTCCCAATAACAACAACAACAATAATAGTAAGATGGAAAAATGACACACACAAAAAAAAAAAAGAAGTGTCAAAATACCAAATCTCAAAATGAGCACCTAACATTTGCTAATAACAAAGAAGGCGAAATAAAACCAAAATAACATTTGGAAATTTTTAAAAAATGACAAAAATGCCTTTTTTTTTTTTGGTTTAAGTTTTAAACCCCTCACCAAAGACCTCAGTGGTGGCAGGCGACTAGCCAGCAGCACCTGCAAGAGGAATTTTGTTTTGGGAGAGTAGCGTCCACAAGGCCTCCTCTGAGGGATATTGAAAACTTTTTATATAAAAAAAAGAATATTTTTGTCATTTTCTTGGATTTTTAAACGTTATTTTTTAGGTTTATTTTCCTCTTTTTCGTGCTATTAGTAAGTGTTAGGTGTCCATTTTAGAATTTGATATTTTCACATTTCTTTTTATGTTCTTTGCCCTGACAAGATCAGCATGTCTACATTTGTTGAAGCATATATGGGGGCAAACAGGCTAGGTTTAACTTTGAAAAGCTCATCAAACCAATGAAACCAGCCATGAGACGAGATAACGTTGACAAATAACACTGTCTCGCTAGCTACTTGGAATCGTAAGACGTCTTTCAATTATCCTCAAACCCCACAATCTGTAATGTATATGTGTGCGTATGTTTAATTATTACTATTTATTTTTAATTTAATCTTTCAGAATATATATATATATATACTCCTCCGGTCCTAATTATAAGACCCAATTGACTTATTTGAGGAGATTAAGGAAGTAAGTTAAGTTGGTTATTTATAATAAATAAGTGTTGTCATTCCTAAAATATCCTTGCTAATTAAGTATATTGGCTAAAACTATCATTATTAGAAGGATTATATTGGAAAAAAATACATAAATATAAGAGACAAAATGGATTGGGGTCTTATAATTAGGACCAAATAAAAAGTCAAATGGGGTCTTATAATAAGGACCGGAGGAGTATATATATATACCCATTTTCCTAGCTTTTGGCCTGCAGTACGCATGCCTTAATTTGTTCATATGATTGATTAATTGGTAATTGTGCATGTTCGTGGCTACATGATATGCATGCCTTTGTTTCAGCTAATCACAATTAGCAGGCCTTAATTACTTTTATTTATTTATTTCCTCATTTTAAAATTATATGTCTCTTCAAACACAAACATGTTCCCCTTTCGGAGAAATCCAAGCCTTTCCCGGCCAGCAATCTTTTGGTATATATCCTCTATGTGTGTGTGTGTGTGCTTGCTTGGTGACTCTCCATAACATACGACCATTGAATTTACACACACACACACACACAGAGACACACACACACATGCTTGGTGACTCTCCATAACATATGACCATTGAATTTACAAACACACGCACACACGCTTGGTGACTCTTCACAATATATGACCATTGATTATTTTTAATTTCATATATATATAGAGAGAGAGAGAGAGACACACACACAAACTCATATACTCATATCTATGTTGGAGAGGTCATGGGGTCTGCCATCAAAATCAATGTCTCTTTCTGCATTGCTATTCAGTTGACTTCAATTAATTTTCCTTTATCTAGCTGGTCTCATTCTTTTAGAAATCAATATATATATATATATATATATATAGAGGTCAACGAATGCAAACTTAGAAGTTTTTATTTATTTTTTAATTATTAGATTAAAATGCCAAGTAGATAATCAGGATCAAATGAAGGTATAATTTCTCTGATGTGATTTTTCATTCATAATACTTAAAATCGTAAACTTGTTTAAAGATAATTGAGTTCCTTCTAACAATCTAATCGTTATTGATAAATGTAAGAAATTTTTTCCTGTCCGATTTTAGCAGAGGCAAGAATTTTGGAGTGTAAAAGGCCAAGGCATATTTTGTAGGATAGAATATTTTCGAAGGAAATGGAATTGGAGAGGGAGTGGAAAATAAAGATGATTTTTGAACTAAAATTATGTTTGATAAGTAGGAAAAAAGTTATGATTTTTTTTTTGGTGTATTGAAAATTTGATATGAACCAATCAAGCAATAAAAAGAACAAGTTAAAGTGATCAAATGACATGGATATTTTTAATCAAAATATCCATGCTGCGTCTTCAAAATCGCGAATGTGATTTCACCGCAAATATTTTGAAGATAAATAGCATTTAAATATTTATTCAAAATCATACTCATTTAACGTGGGTATAATATTTTATAATTCAAGGTAAATTTGGTGATAGATTTTTTGTTTTATGGGATGTTTGGGAGGTCCAGGAAACACTTGTAAAAAGTAACGCAAGTCGAAACAAAACTCTCATGACATATTTATTTTGAATTATGTAAAATTACTTTTAAAATTATAATTTAATTTTCATCCAAACTACTCTTCCGGTCCTAATTATAAGACCCAATTGACTTATTTGAGGAGATTAAGGAAGTAAGTTAAGTTGGTTATTTATAATAAATAAGTGTTGACATTCCTAAAATATCCTTGCTAATTAAGTATATTGGCTAAAACTATCATTATTAGAAGGATTATCTTGGAAAAAAATACATAAATATAAGAGACAAAATGGATTGGGTCTTATAATTAGGACTAAATAAAAAGTTAAATTAGGTCTTATAATAAGGACCGGAGGAGTATTAAGATATGCAGAAGTTTGGGCCATGCTTTGGGCCTCAAGAGAACCTGGGATATGAAATAGCAATGGATTGTCATCAAAACTAATTGGTAGAGAGCTTGTGGACACTCTCACTACGGGCTGGCATGATGATCATCCAGAAGGAGGGCTGCTCGTTGAGATTCAAGGGTGGCTAGCAAAAGAATGGGAGGTGAGCGTGTCTTGGCACGGACGTGATGTGAACTGCTAAAGAGTCTCTCCATTTCTCTTCTTCTCCATTTTCATCTACTTCCTATCCCAATCATTAAGATCGCCAGTTTAACAGTACATTTTATTTATAATTTTATAAATATAAAATCTGAACCGTTAAGATCTCAATTTTATAGCTGAGATGAGAAGTGAATAGAAATAGAGGAAAAATGAAGTAGAGACACCCCTAGCCCGATTGAACGTGATGGCTGACTTTTTGGGCAAAACTTCTGTGAGTGCTGTTTCTTAACTCTCCTCCTGATTTTGTTAATTTTCATGTGTCTGACTTAGCACAATAGTTTTTCCTTTTGCTTGTAACCACAAAAAAAAAGGCCTCTCTATTTTACAGGAAAGTATTACTTGCTATGTAGTCTAAATAAAATAATGGGTATAACTACTAAATATATCATGATATAGTTGATCTCCCTAAAAAATTTGATTTTCTTTAAAATTTTTCTCATCTATACCAAATAAAAGCTGAAACCCCTCCCCCCTCAAAAAAAAAAAAAAACCAGAAGAGGGATTAAAACGGGAATTAAATCAGAAATTAGATTGGGAGAATTCAGAACGGGGTTGATTTTTTTTGGGGCCGAAAGGTAAGCTTGACTGGGTTACACCCTTATAACACAGCCCATGTGCTTTCTTGGGACGTACGCCGGTCCATGATTGAGGCCTATAAACCTTGCTTTGACTCGTTTTATTTATTTTTGCTAAACATACATATTGTTTTTTTCACAAACAATTTTGTTCGAGTTACTGTCATATTAGATGGGTATTTTTTATGAGGGGAATTCGAACATTAATTAACTACACTGTAAGAAACTGATGGAGTGTTTGAATGGAAACTAAACTATGATTTTAAAAGTACTTTTACAATTTACAAAATAAATATGTGAAGGATTTGTCTCGTTTTATGAAACAATATTTTTTAAAAGTGATTTTGAGGGATGCCAAACACTCCTGTCCTTTCTACTAAATTTAGCTTCCTTCGCCGACTCACTTTACTTTTTTGGTCGAGCCTAAGGTATTTATCTTTGATAGCAGTGATTAAGGTCCTTGTACCGAAGATTTTCTGAAGAGCTTTAGTGCCGATCATGAGATCTTCTCCTTACCCCCCCCCCCCCCCGCCTACTCATTTTGTTGTATTCATACAAATATTTCTTTCCCTCCAGCCCAACTTTCTTGCCCCAAAGCATACCATTTATGAAAATTTGCATGAACCATAAATGGCCAGAATTCAAATTTGTTTAGTTCATTTTCATCGTTTGCGCCAATTTTTATTTGCTCTTTGCAATCATCATTGACCGAGCATATCAGTACTCAGTAGTAAAATTTGCGTGAACCACGAGAAAAATTTTGCTCTAACTTTTTTATATGGGATTTTCCCTTTAAAATGTAAGACTGAAAAATCCTCAAATTTTACCAAGAGAAAAGGTGAAGAAGCTTACCAGCGTTGTGGAAGGCTGGGAGCACAAAAAACTGAAAAAGGGTTTTGGTGAGAGATTTTTAGCCACTGGGGTCTGGAGTACTGGACTGTTGTGGCCGGTTTTCAAATGCCATAACATCATATTGAAGATTTTAGGCTACGAGCGACGTCGAAAACGTCGGAACCGTTTAGGTTTTGGGGGATTCGGTGTTTTGAGCCACACTCCTGTGTGGGTTGGCTGGAAAAGATTAAAAATGGCACTCCTGCAAAATTCACAAGTTGTGTTTCCCAAATGTTTCGCCATTTCAAAACCATCAACCCCCAACTCTCTATTTCTAAAACTGTCACTGTGTCCGATGTTTCCTTCACTATCAACGTCAATTCCTGCCTTATTCCCCACTCTTCGCCGCGACCCATTTTCATTCGTTCGCTGCAGCTGCAACTTCGGCTCCAATTCTTCTGCGGAATTCAACATTTCTTCTCCAGCCAAAGTCTTCATTAAAGGTAACCCTTTGTTTATTTTAATGGGAATCCGCTTTTGATACGGAATATTGAAGACACAAGAACAGGGATTAGAAATGGCAAGGCACTTCAAAGTTCTTGAATGGACGTTGGTCTTGTTGCAGTTGTTGGGACCTAACTTTAAATCTGCTTCTCTGTTTTCATCGCATAAAGTTCACAAACTATATTAGCCGGTCAGAAATCAGAATGATTTCCTAGTAGTACTTCCTTGAAGTAGCACATGTGAGCGTTGCGCACGTTTCTACCTAGAAATGCAAAGGGATAATTCTGAATCTGGTGGCTAAATACTGCTCTTTTCTTAGGAACTCAAAGCTACATGGTACCATTTCTCAATTCTGCTACTCTAATGGACTGTGCCATGTGTGAGAACGATCTTGCATGTCTGTTGTTACATTAATGATGTTTTAAAAGATTGAAAAGAATGAGCACTGCCCTGTTTCAACTCGAATACATACGAGATTGATGTGTTAACCCGTCTGATATGAAAGAATGGAGCCAACAGGGAAAGAAAGTCAGAGTGTAGGAAAAGAAAAAAATTCTGTTAACTTAACTGTCAACCTGTGATAGCCAGAGGTCACAACTTACTCAAACTACTTGACAGAGCTCACATATACTTACCATATTACCTACAGTAGCTACATGTCTGTGGTCTATAACTAAATCTAATCGTTTTTAGTTAGGAGGCGTGAAAGATTTGCCTTATTGAAGTTTTCTGTATCCATATGCATGCAGCGATAAGTCATTTTAGTACTGAAGTCTTGAGGGTGGGACAATGCAGGGCTTCCTCTGTCAACTTCTGGAGGACGCTTGGTTAAGGCATTTTCAGAGTTTGGTGAAGTTAGTCAAGGTGATAACATCTTTTGCTGGCATGCTTTATAGGCTGTAAACTTTGTGATGAAGCCTCTATTGGATGATTACTTCTAAAGTTATGTTGGCTTCAGATATATAATGCTTACCAAATTTTTGACTTTTAATGTTTGGACTTTGGAAGTCCTACTATATAATTTGGATTGAGATGAATGGTGAAGAGAGGGAAAGAAAGGTTTGATTTAAAGGGTATTTAAATTCTTCCTTCTGTTCTCTTCTCCATCCATGTCAATTCAAACATACCTTAAAGATCCTAAGGATCTACAGGCCAAGAATTATTTTCCATTATCAAAATCACTTTTTGCCTCCAGTCTATATGCCAAGCCAAGAGTGGAGCTTCATTTGAATTCATTGCTGTTCTGATGTCGTTGTTATAGAGCACAATGTTGAGAACTGTGTGTTCAATGTATACCGTTTATTATCATATTGCAGTTAAGCTGCTCATGGATAAAGAATCTGGGCAGTTCCTAGGTATTGCATACATTTGGTTTGCGAAGGAAGAGTCTGCACAATTGGCTGTGGAAAAGATGAATGGGAAGGTACAATGCATCTTACCAACTCTTGTTATCTGAAATGGGCTCGTTTGGTATGGAGAATACAATGGAATGGAACAAAAAGTAATTGTGTGTATGAAAAATATATATGTGGATAATAAGAATATAATGGAGATTGTACGTCTCATGCTTAAAGGAAAGAAAAAAGAATTCTTTCCTGCTTGTACTAACCAAACAGCATCATGTTGTGGTACAGTTCTTCGATGGCAGGTTTATTGACGTCAGAATTTTGAAGGCTGGATCATCAAAAAATCGGAGGAACACAGCTCCATACAAGTTTTGATGTTGTGGACTACATTTCTATGCCAAAGAGTAAGTGTAAATGATTTGTGAAGAACAGATTTAGTTTGTGAGGCCAATTTTTAGCTTTTGCACTGTGGTGTATTGTTTGATATTAGGCACTTTTAGTCTTGATGTAATCTTGTCTGATCATTGGAATAGATATTAATTAGAACAGTAAAAGAATGAAAATTGGTACAATATATACTTCATGTTTGTTGTATGACCTTTTATATAATTTATTTTCAGGAACTCAATGAGTCCATTTTCTTATAACAATTATACATCCGGTCCTCAAAATATCTGATGTGACAATCGTATGTGGGAGAATTCCGCTCAAGTCTCCTAGAAGAAGGTTTTTGATGCTTAAATCTCCCGAGATGCTGAAATTTCATTGCAGTGCTTTTGTTCTTAACTGAATATTTTTTTGTATGGTCATTTACCAGATTACTCAATCTGAAAACAAAAAGAAGCCCCTCAAGCCCTCCCTTACTTAGAATGACCTCACTCAAGTTCCCTACTTCACTTCTTCTTCTTCTTTTTCCTGTTGTTGCTGCCGGAGTCCCTAATCATGAGCTCAGGCTTAGCAACGGCTTTCCATTGATTAACAAGCAAGGTATTGAAAATCGGATTATTCAATAAATCACTTGAGGTAATAGTTTAATAGTTAATAGTCTAATTGTGATTGAACTGGGCTTAATCCAATCATGATTAAAATAATATAATTAAAATAAAATATATAAAAATATTCACATATGATCTTGAAAAAGTGTAATATTTAAATAAGAAGGTATTAATCTAGAAGTAAATGGATTACTGGCCAAAAAAATGGAATATTAATATACAAACCACACATAATTCATCAAAATAGGATTACTGAAGCAATTATTTGATGGACTGCTACTTTTCTTTGAGAGAAAAAAAAACTCAAATTGACATTTCAGACTCAGTGTATGGGGGGAAAAAAAAAGTCAACTCAATTGTGTACGAGGCACGAGCTCTTGGGCTGAGTTGCTGGGAGACTGGTTCATTGCTCTGCCTGACTAACTGACTGGAGTCGGGTTTTAATATAACATTAATTTGTCATCCTTAATTGAAGGCAAACCTTCATTTCTTAATTGAAGCCATTCCTCTGGTTCATTTGTTGTCTGAATTAATGAGCTAAATAAATTATTTCGTAAAAAAAAAAGTTTGCTGGTTTATTAAAATACTTCCTTTCATAATTTGTATTGAAAATTATATTTATTGGTATAAAGTATAAATTCTTGTTTAATATATGTAATTAATAGGAATAATTTGGCGAAGGGAAAAATATGAATTTAAGAGATAAAAATAAATTTTTTAACTAATTCCTCTAGGAAATCAAAATTTGTAGGATTAACAAAGTTTATGTAAATGGAGAAACGCACGTACTATAGCCTGTAAGAGGTGGAAATGTAAATGTAATTGAAGCCTAAGCTGAGTTGAGATGAGAATAGAAGAAAGAGGAGAAACAAGCCACTATTTTCTATTATTAATATCTGAAATGCTTAATTAATTTGAATAGATTAAGTCAAATAAATTAGTTAAATACTACCTCAGGTCCTTAATATAAAACTTTGTTTGACTTTTATTTTGGTTTTAAATACTACCTCCGGTCCTTATTATAAGACCCCATTTGACTTTTATTTGGTCCTAATTATAAGACCCCAATCCATTTTGTCTCTCATATTATGCATTTTTTTCCAAGATAATCCTTCTAATAATGATAGTTCTAGCCAATTACTTAATTAGCAAGGATATTTTAGGAATGACAACATTTATTTATTACAAATAACTAACTTAATTTACTTCCTTAATCTCCTCAAATAAGTCAACTGGGTCTTATAATTAGGACCGGAGGTAGTATAAGATTCCAATCTATTTTGTCTCTTATATTTATCTATTTTTTCCAAAGATAATCCTTCTAATAATGATGGTTCTAACTAAGAAATTTGATTAGCAAGAATATTTTAGGAAAGACAACACTTATTAATTACAAATAACTAACTTAACTTATTTTCTCAATCTACTCAAACTAGTCAACTAACTCTTATATTTAGGACCGGAGGTAATACAATAAATGCAATATAATATCTCTAAAATATTTTTTATATAATGTTAAATTAAATACCAATTTATAAGTTCAATAAATTTGTTTGAAAAAACTGATAAATATGATAAATAAAATAATGTAAAATAAAAAAGAGAGAAGTAAAGAGATAGAAGAAAAGGGAGAGATGAGGCAGAGAATAGAGGAGCACGTAAGGGAGGCCGGAGGAGAAAGAAAATAATTAGAATTTGTATCCCAATTTAATCTGTTATTAAATGAAAATCCGAAAACTACTTATAGTAACAATAACAATAAAAATGAGAATAACCACAACAAATAACAACTAAATCTGTCCTAAAATAATGATAAATCCAAATGTCCTAGAAATATAGTTAAACCGTAATTATTTTTTATCCCATATTCTATCATAAAGTGTATTAAGGTTTTATATTTTAAACTAAAACTCCTTTCTAGCGGACTCATATGTCAAGTATTAAAGGAAAGAATGAGATTAAGAAAAATATAATCGAACATGCAAATAAATGAAAAAAATAGAATCGACCCGTATTCTCATATGAATGTTTTTTTTATTAAGTTCATTAAGTGTTCTTTTCGATTTTTTTTACCACTTTTATAGGGTAAGTGTCTACTCTATCATACTCACTATCCTCTCAAATGTCCTGCTTTATTTATTATGAATATTATATATTTTTTTGTATATTCTATATTAATGACGCAATATATTCTATATTTTATTTGGGTCGGAATTGGGACAAAAAGTACTCCGTGAGTAATGGTGATAGTAATAAGCGACGTGTTTGAAGGAGACGATGCCGTTCCCACCTCCTTGCTTCCTGTAACCATGGTGCCGCTGCTCCAAAACCAATTACCACATATGCTCCTCTAACTTCTCCCCTCGTGAACAAGTCGACGACCATCACAAGGAACAAGAAGAAGACGAAGAAGACGCAACAAGTGAAGAACACGATGCATGTGCTGAATGCGGTGATTTTAGGCGCGAAATCCATACCTTTTGGATCCTTCTGGTGGTTCATCTATGCCGGTTTCTCCTGTTTCCTCGTCCTCTTCGCCGGCATCATGTCCGGCCTCACCCTCGGTCTCATGTCTCTCAGCGTCGTCGACCTTGAGATTCTTCAGCGCAGCGGTACTCCCGCTGAGAAAATGCAAGCAGGTCGGTCGTCATTTTCCCCTTTCTTCTTCCATCCCATTTTCCGGATCATATAGTTTCTGATGCTTGATGTGTTTTTGTCTTTTTCAATATGGTTTCTTTCTTAAATTTAAGGTTGTCCAGATCATCAGTCCTTTGTTAAGATTTGTTGATTTTTTTTTTTTTTATATTTTTATTCTTATATACTTAGCCGCGATCCTTCCTGTGGTTCAAAAGCAACACCAGCTTCTTGTAACCCTGCTGCTTTGCAATGCTGCAGCCATGGAGGTAATTCAATCACAATGTTATGGTTGCGTGATTTCTCTTGTTTTAGGCGTTGGGAAAAGTTGTTAAGTATGAAACTGATGTTAGAACTCCGTAGCTTAGCATCTGTCTCGAGCCAATTATTATGCTCATAATTTAGATCTATGTTCTTCTATGTGCTTCTGCATATAATTTGTTTGATACCGACTGCTCTTTGCTTTTAATGCAAACAGTTATTGACTTCTTGGATCTTGAAAGGGTATTATGTTTAGGAAAAGTTTATGTAATCCCATTGCACCGGCATTTTCAAAATTATGTTTGAAAATCACCCAGATAGCTGAGTGCTTTTGAGATGTCAGATAGGTATTGCTGAGTAATTTATTGTGCATTTATTTCTGATTTATATATCCTACCTAATTTTCAAGCAACTGTAAGACTTTGACACTTGCAATGTGCAGGCCCTTCCAATATACCTTGATAGAATATTTAATGAATATGTGGCTATCATACTATCAGTTACTTTTGTTCTGTTTTTTGGAGAGGTAAGTGATCCTGTCATGTTCCATTATTCTCTAGTTTAACTTAAATGCCGCTAATTAAAGAATTGTGAATTTTCTTTTTCAAGTTTTTATTCGTTATCAACTCTGCTTCTTCGATTTCAGGTTATCCCACAAGCAATTTGTACTCGATATGGTCTTGCCGTTGGTGCAAATGTCATTTGGCTTGTCCGAATTCTAATGATAATCTGTTATCCCATTGCTTATCCCATTGGAAAGGTGATTTTCCCTCCAGAAATTAAAGAACCAGTCTTTTGAATAATTGACGTGGCGGTATAATATAACTAAAGAGACTCGACATATTCTCATGAAACTTGAAAATTTGTCATGAAGATATTACACATGTATACAAGTTAAGGTCTTCTATAATTTGCTTTGCGGCGATATCTGTATTTGACTTTGTTTAGGAGAACTCTTTAGCTTGTCAGTAACTGAGCAATATCACAGGCATGCCTTTCGGCTGAAATTATGGTCTCTAGCGTTTTGATTTTTTGTCTGTATTGGTTGTTAGCTTAAGAGTGCTTCTTCTGTTATAAACATCATGGAGGGAAGAGCTCCTCTTACTCTTAAGGAAAAACGGTGAATTTTATCATAATCATGCTCCTAATGGTTTCTTTTTCTCACTGACCTGTGTTTCAGATTCTAGATATCTTATTGGGACATAATGAGGCTTTATTTAGGCGTTCCCAGTTAAAAGCTCTTGTTTCCATCCACAGTAAGGAGGTAAGGCAAGAAACATCATCTCCATCAACCAAATTCTAATAATTGTGCTGTAGAGCCAAAGTGTCAAGATTGCTGAAGCTTCCCAAATATTACCAATGTAAATCTGAAAAATAAATGTATAGATGTTGAATTTTGTTCTTTAGGCTGGGAAAGGTGGTGAACTCACGCATGATGAGACAACAATTATCAGTGGAGCTCTAGATTTGACTGAAAAGGTGAGCACTGAGCACTTCAATTAACCTGCAACTTCTTATATCACTCTCATAATTGTTGTTTCCTTATGTTAACAATTCAATAGAATTTGTAAAATATGATAGTCTCTGCAGCAGGACTCTGAAGTTGATTTTTGTCTATAAACAGACTGCTCTGGGGGCCATGACTCCTATTGAATCAACATTTTCCTTGGATGTTAATTCAAAGTTAGACTGGTAGGTGCCCTGTTCGCTTCGGCCTCTATGAGTTTTTATCTCTTGAAATCCAAACACAAGGCTTAAACAGTGTATGACCAATAGCCTGCCAAGACTAATTAATGACCACTAAAAACTGACACTAATTAATTGGCTGCGGAATGACATTTTTGTTCATAGGATGTAGTCTTTTGTATTTTGTAAATGGGAAATCCAAATGTTCTTTGAGGATTAGTTTTGTCTCTGGTAAGATATTTTCAACTGTACCATGTGGAAATTATATGAAGTCATCCTCACAAAGCAGGCTTGACAAAACACTGGTATATGGAGCAGAGCTGCTTCTTTCCAAAATGTTTATGTGTTCAATTTCTCTCCTAGTTATATTCTTTATCAAGCCCTTATGGTGCCATGTAAACAAGCAGGGAGGTAATAGGAAAAATTCTTGCTCGCGGACACAGCAGAGTTCCTGTCTATTCAGGACATCCAAAGAATATCATTGGGCTTCTGCTGGTGAATGTCCCGTGCTGCAGATTTTTAATTAATTTGCTCTGTTTCCCTTGTATTAAGTTTTGGATTCTCTCCTCCCCCTCTGAATTCGTTTATAAATTAGGTCAAAAGTCTTCTCACTGTACGGCCAGAAACAGACACCCCTGTTAGTGCTGTTTCCATCCGAAGGGTTCCACGGTATGCTTGTCTTTTTTAATTTATCACGTCGGTTCCTATTCTGAAAAAATTGTGAAATATCTGGAGTTTGCGTCCTTGAATGTATTTGCAGAGTTCCATCAGATATGCCTCTTTATGATATACTGAATGAATTCCAAAAAGGTAGCAGTCACATGGCTGCTGTTATAAAGGTTAGAGGAAAAGGCAAGATGACTCCAGTAACAGCTGAGGGACAGAAGAATGTAGAAGACAAAATTAATGTTGGGGATTCACAGCTAACCACTCCTTTACTAATGAAGCAGAAGTTGGAAAGTGTTGTTGTAGACATTGACCAACACTCAAATCCTCCCCATGTCAACCAAGTTTCTTCGAGTCAGGCAACAATAAATGATATAGTTTCAGCGGATGCTGAAGATGAAGTGATAGGTATTATCACATTGGAAGATGTATTTGAAGAACTTCTGCAAGTAATTTACAGCTCTTTCACATTTCTTTTCTTTCATACCCTCCTGCAGTCATCCCTTTTGCCCCCACAGGACTGATTATTATCCAACAATGCAGGAGGAGATTGTAGATGAAACGGACGAATATGTTGACGTACACAAGAGGTAATATAGAGCTCAAACTTTTAAATGTTGCAGAGATGAATGAAACTGCTGCACCTTTGAATTAAAATGCTCCATGATTTGTTACTCAAGAGCGTTATAAATTTTATTTTCCAGGATACGTGTGGCTGCCGCAGCTGCTGCTTCCTCAATGGCACGCTGTCCATCTATCCGGAGATTGACTGCCCACAAGGGAGCAGTAAGTGACTGCTTTTCTTACATTTCTAATGGTGTCCATATGTTCCTTCTTCGTTGTAGTTTGTTAGGCAAATTAGCATGAGCTTAGTTGTCACTTATTAGTAGTTATAACTATTGCTTTCCTTTTTCCATCAGTAAGGTTAACCCGGGATCGATTTCCACATCTCACTCCATCCTTACTACCTGAACTAGTCCTATCAATGTTATTGTATTAATTAATTATTAATAACCTAGTAGTCATACATGTGGAAGGAGAGTTGACCAGCGCGTAAGATTCAGGTGGTTAATTCTGTTTTTACCTCCTTTTTTCTGTTTCATTCTTCCTTGTCATAGAGGCTCAAAGCTGTGAATCGTATTCGTTATTTTAGCTTAAACAACTCCAAGCATTAACAAATACTTCAGCATCAAAAGTTCAAATCTTAGAAAACGCACTTGTTAAGAGAGTTTTAACTTTAGTGCTCTTGGCCTAATAGAGATTAGTTTCAAGTTTAAAGTGGGTTGAAGATACTCTGAGTTACCAAAATAAAATAAAATAAAATTCAGTATCACATTCTCTCTCTCTCTGTTCTTTTTTTTATGTATATATAATCTGACCCTAATTAATTTCTAGATACAAGTCTGCGGCTGTTATAAATTGTGGAATCAATAATCTGTGTTCTGATCATACAGGGAGGCCAAGTTAAGCAAGGGAGTACTCCAAGAAAATCTACTGAAGATGAAAGTAATGTGTCAACGTCGAGGTTCCAAGGGAATCCCGTTGAGCCTCCTGAGAGTAGGAGATGAGAAGAGTTTGCTGCAATTGGTGAGGTTTGGTCTGATTCCTATCAGTTTTGGGAGGTGCTTTCTGGGTCGGTAACAGTATGTTAAACAAAAAAAAAAAAGAAAACAAAAGTTAGGAGCTTTTTTTTTTCCCAGCAGTTTAATCTTATTTTTGTTATTTTATTTTTGAAAGGGAATAAATTCATGTGTATATATATTTTATTTCCACAACACAACATTTTGGCCAACATTAACTGGCAAAGTAATTACACTCTGGCAATAGATGTAACCTAACGATCCGATTTCCTGTGAATATATATACTTATACCGAGGTAAAAGGAAAGCATAAAAATAGTTTCCTAGTTTTTCACTCTTGTACCATGTTAATGGAAAACTCATGGTAATTTATCCATAAATCCCTGCTTTCTTTTTTTTTTGGGTTCTGATAGCCATGAACCTCGTTCTTAGGAGGTAATAGAATTGCAGAAGGAGATATTTGTCTGCTATTGGAATTATTTCTCATTTCTCATTTCTCATCAATAACTTTTTTCTAAAGCCTGCTAATATATACTACAAATATATTTCTACATAGTAAATTTACATGACTTGGCTCAGGTCGCATAGAAGATTAAAGGGTACAAAATCCTACTGTGCATACTTTCTGACAATTAAAGCCACCCTAGGTATCCCCACAGCCACTAATACATCTTACCCTAGGAAACAATCTAAAGTAAAAGCAAAACAGGCTAGTAGAGTAAGGATGTTCAGTGTTCAGTACCAGGGGCCACATGGTGCAGTATATTTTGTAGTTTAATCCTTCTATCTTCTGCTTCCCTCTCAGCCCTCCCATCAAAAGTTCTCTTCCCACCGTACAAGCATCACTATGCACCTCCACATGATATAAACCCTAGTTTTCTGCTCCCGGAAGTGCTCTGAACATCTATACCATAACTGAGGCTTCTGACTCCTCGCTGTTAACCTATGTCTTGCCATGACTATACAAATATCTACCTATCTAGATGCCCCAGCAAACTGTTATACACACACACACACAGAAGCATAGACACACAGAGAAGGAGGACATGGAGAAAACGTTTTGAGGTGATAAGTGGGTTGGCTTCCTGGGAAGGATCGAAGATGACAAAGATGTCCCAATCACAATTTCTTCCCTGACAAATAACCCATAAAAGGACTTACTTAAGACTCATCCTGACAGCTAGGTTAGCCAATCCTGTCTCTTTTGCGCTAATATGAGGCGTGGCATATTGTTTCCCTTCTCACCCTCTCCGCGTACTATATTCCCCAAAACACGCACATGGGTCCCCAGATTTCTGGATGTTTTTGTATGGATTCACTTCGGTTTTTACGATTACATAAAAAAAAAAAGATTTTTTTTTATTATCAAGAAGAGTGCACAATAATTTTAATGCGGTTACAAGTTATTATAAGGCTGTGATATTATAAAGAAGCACCCTGGTTTAGCTTGAGGGAGTTCAATTTCAAAATCAGAACACAGACACGTGCAAGGAATCTCACCAAACTGATTTGTTTGATACTATCACTATTTTTCACTTAGCGCGTTTGAAAGTTGAGTCAACACAAACAACAGACACAAAAACAGAGAGAAAAAGAGAGAGAAAGATCTAACAATTTCTGGGGTTTTCTTCCTTTTTCTTTTCACACCCCCAATTACATTGAAAATCTGTGAATATACAAGCTGGGGTACAAAAAACAAATAGAATAATAACTCAAAGATGTAGCTAGCATTAAAAGGTGACACCTTGAGCATGAGAATACTTGGGAGTTCTTCTAGTTCAAGACTCAGAGTACTTGCGCCAATTAAGAAGCATAGTAATACACACCCTCATGATATAAAGCTTCCCTCTTTGTTGCCTTATCATCTTCCTCCACTTGGCAAACCTCGTGCCCTTTTTCCCCATAACTCTCTCTTATTGCAGTAAACTACCTAAAGCTTGTTGCTTCAATTCAGGCACAAATTATAAAACATGTATATATATATATATTGATCTTTGGATCATCTTAAGGCTCCACATGTACATGAGTTTCACATCAACCTCATGTGCTCTCTCTTTCCAAATTCAACTCAGACATAGTGTTTTTGTCAAATCATGCCGGCCATTGGTGATTGTCGCAATATCTTAAAGTGGTTTTGCAAGTACAAAACACCAACCTTATCTTAAACAGTCCTTAAACCTCACATCATAATCCTATCCCACCTGAGTGACCTTAACTTATTTATTAGTTTAAACAGAAACAAACAAGGTTGTTACTTGTTTTTTAGTTAATCCTTAGGATTAACCCCTACAAACTAAACGAGGACTTCACGTGAGCTCTAATGTTAGCCCCCTTTTGAGCCATGTCCCAAGCATGTGACTTACAAGCTTGTCAAATAATGTCTCACTGTTCTGAAAAGACTGTCATGGAAAAGCTTATACACCTTATCTTAAAGGAGAAAGCATCAAAGATAAGATCTTTAAGCACCCAACTATTCTTTGTGGACCTGTGGACTTATTATTAGTCTTCTGAATTCTGATATAGGTATAAAGAGACATGCATATAACGGGCCAGTTGAGATTTGAGCCACTGAGAGGCAAAGCAAAGGCCAATGAAGAGTACACACATGGAAGCCAACTTGGGGACAGGTTGTTTCAATTGAGTTGGAACTTTGTGATTTTTATGAATTAGGCTGTGAAATGAGAGAAAAGAAAGGTCCAGACTGGTGTGAACTGGGGAGGTGCTATACAGTGAGTAAAAGATTGTGGTCTTTCTTTTTTGTTTTTGAAGTACAGAAACCTAATCTGTGGTAGTTCAGGATGTGACTAACTGAGAACACACAGAAACTGCGCGTCAATATCCCCATTATAGAAGTCGGCAGTAAGTTTCATGTGGAAATGATCAGAGACAGGGCGTGTGCCTTAGCTAGCTGGCTGTTTGGAGAATTGTTGTCAGTGTAAGATGCTTTTTTCACCCCCTATTCTGACTCCAGAATTTTAATAGTCGTTACAAAAAAACATGGTCTAGCGCACGAGGCTACCATCAGATAGGGTCTAACAAGAGATAGATGTAAGTATCCTTGCCTCCTCTAGCCGAGAGGTTAGTTTGAAGATTTGAACCCATGACTTCTGAGTCATATGGTAGAAAGTAATCTTACCAAGACTCACCCTCCTTTTTAAAAAATGAATCGATTATATACTATCTCTGGTCCTAATTATAAGAGCTAGTTGACTAATTTGAGGAGATTAAGAAAAAAAGTTAAGTTAGTTATATGTAATAAATATGTGTTATCTTTCCTAGAATATCTTTGCTAATCAAGTATATTAGCTAAAGCTCCCATTGTTAGAAGAACTACTTTGAAAAAAAAATATATAAATATGAAAGACAAAATGGATTGGGGTCTTATATCTAGGACCAAAATAAAAATCAAATAAGGTCTTATATTAAGGACCGGAGGTAGTATATTTTTGTTCAATTTTAGAAAAATTATATAAACACTCCTTTTATTTTAAGAACAATTTAGTCAATATGATATGTAAAAATAAAATCTTTCTATCAATATTCTTTTATTATTCAAAGTTTTGGAATGCAAAGAATCAAGTTTTTTTTTTTTTTCAAAGGCGTGTTTATTTAAAGTATTCGAACTGCACAAATAAAAATATACTTAAGGAACGGCACAATTATTTTTGTTGTTGATTTTTTTATAAAATTATGTCAAACTTATATACACATCCTTTTATTCTAAACCTTATATATTCTTCTTATTATCCTCCGGTCTTAATATAAGAGTTAGATAACTAATTTAGAAAAATTATGAAAATGAGTTAAGTTAGTTAATTATAACAAATGTGTGTTGACTTTTCTAAACTACCTTATTTAATTGTGTATTGAAATTATTTCTTAATAAGAACCCTTTATAATTAATAGAGATATTTTAGAAAAAATATTATAAATTTAAGTGACAAAGTAGATTGAAATTTTATATTTGAAACCAAATTTAATATTTAACTTGTTTTGATATCAAGAACGGGAGCTGATAAGACTTTGTCTGATCCAGTGAAGTAGAGGCGAGGGCGAAAAGAAATTTCTTGTTTCGTTAAATTATAAAGACTTTGTTTGATTCCTATTAGGCTCAGGAGAATAAGTATCCTTTTATTTATCCAACACAATCTTTGGAAATTGGATAATAAATTAATTCAACGGAGAGAAAATCACTTAACTTTCCTTAAATAAGTTTGACAGTTCAAAATTTTATTTTGAAAAAATTATTTCTAATTAGACCGAATAATTATTGAATTTGATATAATAGTAATAGGAAAATATTTGATCAAGTTCTTTACCTTTAATTATTATGTCATTTTCAAATCGCAATTAAATTAGTTCAGTAACTAAATAATATTAGATATGAATATATTCATATTTTCAAGTTAACTTTTTATACCTGAGTGTTGTTTGCCGTAATTAAGTGATCAATTTTATATGAGGACATGTGTACATAAGATGTTGACTTAATTAAAAAGATTGAATTTTGGCCAAAGAAAAAAAGAGAAAGAGATTGAATTATAAATAATACTCCTCCGGTCCTTAATATAAGACCCATTTAACTAATTTGATTAGATTAAGGAAGTTAGGTAAGTTAGTTAATTATAAGAAAAATAACAAATTTTTCCTAAAACACCATAATCATCTTTCTTAATACCTCATCTCCCTCTTATATTTGATTATGGTTAATAGAGTATTCATAGGGGTAATTTAGAGAAAATTGATAAATATGATAAATTGGTCTTATATTTAGGACCAAAACTAACTCAAGAATTGGGTCCTATATTAAAGACCGGAGGAGTACTTTTTAGCAGCAGCCACCCGTCCTTCTGCGTCAGTTAAAAAGGCAGCTCAGAAAGCTATATTCATCGCTCAAAGATGCCGAGTTCAAAAACTTGTGTTGGTTCGTGACATACAAGTCTCTCTAGGTATTATTCAAATACAACTTAATTCTGATAAGCTTTCCAAAAACTAATTTATCTAAACTTTTTAATATTTTTTGGGGTGGATTCAAAGGAACTCTATAATAATATACAATACTTTATAGATAGATTTACACTTTAACTCATAATTTTAAAAGAAAAGATTAATTACAACCGAATTTTAAAATATTTTTTAACAAATACACAAAATTTATTTATAAATATTATGAACCTCGTAAATATTCTTCCGGAACAAAACATCTGAAAGCCTACCTAGAATTGAGATAGGATCCGTTTGTGAGACGGAACCTGTCTATCCTTAATAGGGTGGGATGGATGGGACGCAGCTTCTCTCCTTTTCCCTTACCATCCGCTGCCCTCCTTTACCTTTGATACTGCGCCGTTTTGAGTGAAAGCAAGGGAGGGTGAAGGCTTTTTTTTTTTTTTTTTTAATTTTAAAAAAAATCTAATACCTTAAAATATTTTTTTCAGTGTCATTTCCTATCCTAAATTAATTGTTAATACACTCAACAAGGTAATATAATTTTTCAGTAGCACCTAATATTTAACACCCAACATTCTAAGATATTTCTTAATAGCACTCAGTATTGTAAAATAATTTTTGGTCCACTTAGAAGGCTAAAATATTTTTTTTCCAATAACACCTATGCAACATCCAACATGCTGCGGTATTTTTTTAGTAGTACCAAGTAGCTTGTGTTAAATTTTAGTGACCATAAAATATATATGACAAATTACTTCAAGATACTAAATGTTATTAAAAAATATTTTTGAGTGTTGGATATATTAAAAATTAATTTATGATATTGAGTGTTATTAGAGAAATGCTTTGACATGATGGGTATTACTAAAAAAAATTTAGGATACTGGATGCTATTAAAAAATATTTTAGAGCGGTAAGTGTATTAAGAATTTATTTAGGATACTTAATAATACTAGAAAAATATTTTAGCTTACGCCGCGGCTTTGAGGGTAAAAGAGGGCAGCGGATGGTAAGGAAAAAGGAGAGAAGCCGCGTCCGGGATGGATGAGTTTTAAAGACAAACAAGCAAAAGAGACCATTCCCTCCCCAAAGCCTGTGGCGTCATGCTGACAACTCTGCTGTTGTTAGGAGTTAAAAGTTTCAGAATATGATGTTGTGCCTCTTCATCTTCACATGGAATATGCCACCTACAATTCTTCCCTACTTCACGTTTTCGGCTTTCCCATGGAGCCCCAGGAAAGCCAGTCATAATCCTGCTCAGGGAATTATATCCTACTTCCTTTTCTTAACTTTTTATTTGATTTTTATTTTAGTTATCCTACTTCCTTTTCTTGACTTTTTATTTGATTTTTATTTTAGTTCTAAATATAAGACTTCAATCTATTTTGTTTCCTATATACTCTTTCGATCCTTAATATAAAACCTAATTTTTGAGTTGGTTTTGGTCTTAAATATAAGATCTATTTATCATATTTATCAGTTTTCTTTAAATTACCCTTATGGATATTCCCTCAACCACAATAAGTAGAAGAGGGAGATGGAGTATTAAGAGAGATGAGTATGGTGTTTTAGGAAAAATGTGTTACTTTTCTTATAATTAACCAACTTACTTAACTTTCCTAATCTAATCAAATTAGTTAAATGGGTCTTATATTAAAGACCAGAGGAGTATATCTATTTTTTTAATATAGTCCTTATAATAATAGTAGTTCTAGCAATACATTTGATTAGTAAAAATATTTTTTTAAAAAAAATCATCTATTTATTACAAATAACTAATTTAACTAATTTTCTTAATCTACTCACAAGTTAGTTAATTAGTTTTTATATTAAAAACACGAGATAGTATATATATTGGTGTTTCATGAGAAATTATTGCATATGACCATAAAATAAACAAATATAGAATGGTAATTGTCTCAATATCTAGGTGTCTCGATGGCTTGATGGTTAAAGATGAAGTGTAAATAAAATGAGATGAAGACATGAACTTTGAGATAGTATATTGGAAAATCAATTTCAAAAATTCTAATTCAAGTAAAAATAAAATAAAAATTAGAAAAAGTTATTACTTCAATGATTCTCAGCAAGGAGTCAGTTACCCTTAAAATCATGCTGAACATTGTTCTTTTCATCCAACCGGCTCTGGACTTCTAACAAATTGCCTAACGTTATCTTAAACATGCGTTGAATCTAAAAAGAAATTTGGCCAAAAGAAATATCTCACGGCCTTTTTTTCCCTTGTGTTGGAAGAAAGATTAATCTTTTGGCGTTTTGGTAATTACATTTTTCATACAAAAGTTATATATAAAATGTGCCATTGATCAAAATCATCTAAAATAGTTGATGATCTCAGTCTCGGGCAGCCTGAACAGGGATTTGCTTCGTCAACAGAGGGTAGCTGTATAAGTATACGTACTTGATCCCAACTTTACCGACGGTGAGTTTCGCCACTTCGCGTGATCTGCCTCTTTAGTCTTTACAGTGTTCATCATCGTCCATTGGCGCGTCCAAATCCCAACAATTTCGGTAACATATAATCAAATATATAGCTATTATTTTTAAGAAAGTAATGATTTTTACTAAAAATAATATACCTTTCTCTAACATGTGCCAGTTTCTAGTCGCCACCACCACTACCGGCTCCGGCACCGTGACCTCCGCCGCACCAACCCCCACCACCGACACCTCTGGCATGGCCCCTTCTTCTCATTCTGTCTCCTTCTCTCCTTCTTCGTCCTTCTTGTCTTCATCGTCCTATCCCAAACACAAATTCTCAAACAATACTCAGAATTCAAACACCAGCTCTCATCTTTCTCCCTGCAAGCACTCTCCTTCCGCCACCCTCGATCTCCTCATTTTTGTTCTCGTCCTTTTCTCCGGCGCTTTCCTTCTCTCTTCTTATTTCTCCTACATCTTCAATTCGCTATCCATACTTCTTGCACAATCCGCGCCCCAGATTTATCAGTTTCCTCGGATCCCTTATGTTCTAGGGTTTTTGGCCTTCTTCGTCGTTTCGGCATTAGTGACGCAACATTGCTGCGGTGTGTATATGAGAAAGTGCGGCAAACCTGGATGTAGAGGGCTGAAGAAAGCGATGGAGTTTGATCTGCAATTGCAGTCGGAGGAGACTCTCAAGTCTGGGTCTGATGAGTTCGATAAACTGCCATGGAAGGGTGGGAGTGATGACAACCCCGATTATGAGTGCCTCCGGTCAGAGCTCAGGCGGATGGCACCACCGAACGGCCGGGCTGTTTTGCTGTTCCGATCACGCTGTGGATGCCCCAATGCCAAGCTTGTGGGTTGGGCGCCCAAAAAGGGAAAGCGGCAGAAGAAGTAAGTCTGGTTCCAGTTTGATGATTTCATAAATTAGTCTTGGTAGCTTTGGACTGACTCTGAATTCAATCTTGCAAGCCTGCACTCTTTTTCTCTGTGATTGTGGGGATTCATTTGTAGGCATGATTGAATGAATTGTACTTGATTGATAGAATGACACAATTTCAGATTTTATGTTCTTTAGGATAGGCATTGGATGAGTTCGTGGGCATGTGTCATTACATTGGTTTTGAGGCTTTTCTTCACTTCTTTCAATTACATCAATCGTGTTGGAGAAGATAAGAATATGGTTAAACCAGTCATAAATAACTTATTAGGTTATCCCCACGCCACAAATCTAGTACCTTAGAAGAGCCTTTTTCTATGAGAGAAACCCATGTGGACATGGTTCGAGAAGGTTCCTGATTGTTTAACTGCTGAATCTATATACCCTTGTTGACGCATTGTATAAATTTTTCTGTCTCAAAATTATGATGTTATGTTCTGTTGAATAATTTATTAGGTATATCGCCGATTGGCTGGTCCTTCAATAAGGCTGGCCTAGCATACTATACAGCCCATGGCTTCATTTAAGGGTCCGTCTTCCCAGTAGCCATGCCCTCTTATTTGGTGGGGTTGTGTGTAAAGGCAAGGGTGTCATGCAATTTTTTTTTTCTAAAAGCACCATGTAACTTCATTTTTGCTGCTTAGCCCAACTATCAGTGAATCCTCTCCCATGTAGGGTTGGGCATATTCATCTTTCCATATAGATGCATTCTTCTAAATTGTGCATGCTAAATGCAAACATTTTATGTTTTGGCAAGCCCAGAAGGAAGCTGATGTTATTGATGTGGTACATTATGCGATAAGTTCAATATAACTTACTAGGACTTCAAAGCTACAATATCTTATTTTTCATAGATATTGTAACTTTTACCCTTCTTCATAGTTTAGGAATCTAGGTATTGGTTTGTAAGTCTCGTAGGTATAAATCTCAGGACAATCAAAAGCAATATATTAATAAAGTATCAAACTGCCAATTCTCTCGACTACTGAGATGTATACGACTTGGTGGTGATTTGTGTGACATACTGATAGACCTGTATCTAATGGGCTTTTATCCATTGGGCCACAAGTCATGTGAAGGGTATGAGGGGGGGGGGGAGTTGTCAGTTGTATATGGTTGGTGAGGGAGCGTTTAGGGGGAGAAGCATGCAAATGGTGGATATCTCTGAGCAAGAGACTCTAGCCTCTCGATAACCAGGTTGGGGGGTGGGGGAAGTACTCTTTCTTCATCATTTTCTGTTATGTTTTAGTGTGTTAGTGTGTTGGAGTGTGCTAAGGTATTTCCTTGTAGCTTGTTCTATTAGTGTGCAGGAGATTTATGCTGTTGAGAATATTTCATATATTGATATAATATTAATCCTTAGATTCATTTTCTGTCAATTTCATACTTGGGTGCTTGGGCTCCATCACATACATTGGACAGATTATTGATTTAAATCTGAACAGCTATTCTGATATGCTGGCATATGAATTTCACAGCAAGCTGACTGTGTTTTTCCCCTTCGAAAGAGACACAGAAATAATGAGGCAATGGCATCAGATAGGCGCTACCTTTAAGAACTGTCAAAATGGTTGATTTGTTGTGAGCCGTAGTTTGAACCCTTGTTGAGGAATTACTCTCTCTGTGGAATATCCGTATGATCAATCTGTTTCACATAAACTCTAGTATTTAAACTTGTGATCCCACAAACACTAAATTGGGAGCATTTAGCATTTACTTGGAGGAAAACAACGTTTTTTTTTTTTTAATTTTCTTTTTAACTGGGTGTAGTATTTGTTAGTCCATGGTTATTTGCTAGTCCAAAGTAGTTGTGGTTGTTCTCCAGGAACCTGAATGACTTTCTTTAGAATTAATGTTAGTGAACTTGAATATTACTGGGTACGAATTCTGTTTTTGATGCTCCGGTGACATGACTATGTTGGCTGCTGCAGATCTCTGATCAACATGACTCTTAACAGGCAAGGAGGTCATCGCTGATTTGCTGATATTTGCTTACTCCACCAGCATCTTTATTTATACCGTTATCATTTTCATCGGTTCCTATTTTCGTCGAAGACTTCTCATCAGAACCATTTTTGTATGAAAAGGAAAATTATGATCTGGTGGTAGCCATCCTTCTCGATGTTTACACTTTTACAGATATTGTCTATAACATTGGAACGATAATACAAAATTAACTGCAATAAATTAATGAAATCTCTTATTTATATTTGATCCATCCCGTTAGCTTTTAGATACCCAAAAATTGGCCACACACGCAAAGCTTTGCTTCAATATGTGCCTGCTTTGAAAATGGAAATGTCTCGTAAAGAGTACCAGCCATTTGTGGTTGACAAAAAAACATTGATGTCATAGGCTTGTCAGCTTTAAGATTAAGATGATAGCGATAGGCACAGAATATTTCATTCTTAATGGGCGATGCTTTTCCAAAAAAAGAAGTTATCACTGCACAACTTTAGGGGATCAAATTAATTTGCACCACGAGTGCCGTGTCCTGCACTATACATGGATGCTAATAAGGAGTTACAGCAATTCACATGTAGTTGTCAATTATTAGCTCAGCTGCTGAGCCCATGGTACCCGCCCCACCTACACTCAATAAAGCAAGAGCAAGCTCTTCTTCATTCATCTGCCTCAGTCCATTGCTCAGTCTCTTCAACACTTGTACATCTACTTCCAGCACCCAATTTGGTGTGCAGCCCACCATTAGGCTTACAAACCCTAGCACATAGGCTCGCCAAGTGGCAGAATCACAGCCAAGTGATATCTTGCCATCAAGTGCACTAGCCAGAAACTCCATGTGAATGCCCAGAATTTTTGGACGTCTCTTTGAAGCTGAAGATGATGAATCAACCCCCCAGGCAAAAGCTCCACAAAGAACTGCAAAGTAAGCAAGCGCATATCCTCCAAGCATTGCCACCATCCCATCACACTTATCCTGCTCAGATCTGTGAACAGATATAAACCAGGAGGGCAAAGTTTCTTTTATCAATAATTGAACCAGTATCAACCCTCCTGATAACCAAACAAGAGAAGCCCCTAGTGCAGCTGCAAGTTTGACCCGAGTCATCGAGGCAGCAAGTGAAACCTGTCCATATTTTACGCCATCTTTGGTTGCTCTCAACTTTTCTAGTCCGTCCATTGGAACTCCACCACATACAATTTCTCTCACTGACTGCATTATTAAGGAAACTATTTCTTCTGTCAAGAAAACAATATCTCTGATTGATCGATAAGCGCGAAGGTAGAGAATTCCAGGAGCAACTGGGCAAATCCCTCCACAAAAATGGGACTTAAAGCCATGGCCAAGGAGGGCTCCAACACCACCATGGGGTGAGATAAGGGAGATGTTCGTGCCAAGGGTTGCTGAGAAGCAGCTTTTGAGAAGTTGAACTACTGCATCCTTGTTGTGGAGGAATACAGTTCGAGATGCTGAGAAGATAAGGAAGTCACTCCAACGCTTCGCCTTTTGGGTCCATAGAGAAGCTACTATTGGCATGCAAGGCCATGGACAACCTGCAGCAAGGGACTCCAAAGCTGGGCCAGCCAGATTGAGAAAACGCTCTGAAGCTTTGTCGATTTTGTAGGTTATGGTAAGGCTTACAAAGGCAGCCAATGGCAAAGGAAGTGCAGCTGGGGAGCTTCCTCCTGTGGAAGTGAGCCTTGGTTAAAAGGCCATAGCAATAATATTGGTAGGAGAAAAAAGCTTGATGGAGGTACACATCTCCAAAACTGATTGGCTCGAATTGTAATTATTAATATATTGAAATTACGATTAACTCCATTCCTGAACATGCCTTGCATTCAGGATTATGAAAAAAAGCATTCAGATTTTAGGGTCAGAACAAGAGGAAACCTGAAGCAAGGCTTGGGACATCAACGCCAGTTGCCGCCAAAATTTTCCGGATCTGATAAGATTTCCAAACACCCCGAGTCACTTCAGCAGAGAAGTAGCTTACTATGGTCGCCAAAGATGCAGGTAGAAAATCAGCTAAATCTTTAAGCCCTGCAACAAGAAGTAAAGAATATTCGAGGATTCCTGATTTTGCTGCACGCATCAATGAAGGGGAATTTTGAAAACTTGGCTACTGAACGAAATTTGAACACCAAGAATTACCAAAGTTGGTTGTTTTTTTTTTTTTTGAAAGTCGGTTGTATTTTTGGGGAGTAGCACTTCTACAAATGTTCTCTTCAATTGGATTTATCTAATCCAAACACAAGGCTAGTAGTGATTTACCTGTCGCTAATTCACGGGGGGATAATCTTCCATGAGCACAGGCTGTGAGAACGGCATCGACTACAAAGGGAACAGCTTCCAAAATATCCCAAGCAGGCAATTTTGGTCTCATAGAGGCATCCTCATTTGCAGCTCCAGAAGAGCTACTGCTTCCAGACGTAACAGAAGCCTGGCTTCCTTTCTTAATCTTTTTAAACATCATGTTAAGAAGCCCCTCAACAATCTGATGAAAAGGGGTTCCCTTAACAAGACCAGACAATGTTGAAGCTATGCACGCTTGATGTTGCCTATACCACACTTTTAGTTTTGGAAACGAGTCAACAAAAACAGAATTTGGTGATGACAAACTGGCAATTTCCGAGAGTCTCCTCCTGTTTTGATCTTTGTGGATGTTACCTGCTGAAACTAAGTGGGAGTTTCGTACTAAAAGGAGGTATTCAGGAGTTAGTTGAGAACCAACAGTGGGTACATCTCCGACTCCATGTTCAATAGGAGGATGATTGAACCTCCATAATTTTAAAAGAAGAATAAATGCATTTGAAAACACAGCATGGGCGGATATTTCTTCCCCTGATGTTAATGTCCATGAGATGTTGGGAACAAAAGATCCAAAAACCTCACAGATTGGCATCAATGAGCACACAAGCTGTGGAACCTGATGAGACATTTGGCCATTGTATTAGCTTAAGACTTCAATTTAGTAGTTCCTCACATTAACAAGTTTAGGTCCATGCATCATTATCTTCCATATACTCCGGGCAGAAAAACTAATATATATTATAATGCTTTTAATCAGGATTTCAGATCAAACTTACCAAGCCATGAAGTGATAATATTTGAACACAATCAACAGGTGCTATTCCAACAACGAGTACATTAAGAATAGGAGCATAATCAATTAAATGGCTGTTGCCTTCAGTATTCTCTACTGGAGCTGGTGGAGATAATAACCTAATAATGAAATGAACAGTGTGCTCCTGCATGAAATGGAGATCTGATGCCATTAGAATAGAAAAATGCTTTACTAATCTACAGGTAATTAGTGTCAAATTTCATTACCTGCACATTCCATCCTCGAATCAAAGATGCCCCACAAAGAATGTTAGCAGCGGATATTTTATCCTCTTCTGATCCTCTGGTTGCAATCTCAAAGATCTTTTCCAGTTCTGCTAAGCTTCCATGAAATCCAGGAGCAGAAATTCAGTTGGTTTACCTTTTGGTAAATTTACAAAAAAGAGCATCTGATATACCTGGCTTCAGGAAAGAAAAAGGAAAAACTGAACACCAAACAACAAAAAACCCGAAAAAGAACAAACTCATTATCAATCTTTATCCTCAGGCCAAAAAATTATCAATCTTTATTGTGATGTATGTTTGAATCGTCAGCTATGATGTTCATGAACTTAACCTCAACTAATGAAGGACATTCTTGTTATACCTGTAAAATTATATCATGTTTCAACACATCAATTCATCCTAACAGAAACATTAGGCAGAAAGACTCAAGTAAAAAGAAATTTTCATTTCACCCATTTTGGCATCCTCCCAAAACAAATTCATGCAGAGGTTACAAAGAATAGATCATACCTCGAAGCAGGATTTGAAATCAGAGCATGTATCATTGCGGGACTAAGTGGTGCTCCGTTCATAAAAGACGACCAACCAGGTATTTGAGTAGGCACACATTGAGGCATTTGATCAATATGTCCATTCACATAACCCGGCCATAAATAAGCCGACATGTCCAGGAGGTTACGGGCAATACAAGACTCAACTAACAGATGACGCAAGTTTCCAGCTGAAGACCAAGACATCAGATCAATTAAAAATTTCAGACATCCCATACATAATTCCTTATTGGCTTTGAAAGTAAACATTACTTACAACACTCAATAGGCATTTCTGTCATATTGAGACATTCAAAATATGCACTCCCTATTGTGATCCCGGAAAGAAATAGCATTGCCTTTGCAGCAGCCTGATTTGCAGCTGCAGCAATTGATTGAGGTGGAGCAAGCAAACTCTGGTAATCCCCCAACGACTGTAGACTCGAGACCAGATCATTTCGGCACTTTCCCGGCACCTTCTCTTTCCATTGATCTGTAGGGCCATTCTCTGTTTCATCAGTGGGTATTCTTTCCTCCTCCTCGATAAGACTGGAAACGACAAGAGGCATGATACACAATAGCATGCATAAGCGGGTATCAAGATGAGGCATTGGGCCCTCGATAGGATCTCTTTCCTACAAGCATAGAAAAAATTTTGATTACAGGTGCAGAAACACAAGTACACAAAAACAAATTAATTTGGAGAGAGAGAGAGAGAGTTCAAACCCTCTGAACAAGGCGAAGAGCTGCTAACCAAAGGCCTAAAAACGTGTCATGCCAAGAGGTGCCATTTATTGCCCGTAGAGTTTTGACCAGACCTACACAGAACAGATAATTAATAAGCTTCAATATCTAATCTGTATATATACTAGTAAGAGATAATATCTACCATTTCATTAGATCTCTATAGATATACTCATCCTTACTGATAATTATTTCAATAGCACTTGTTGCACTAACTTGATAGCCATCCATGGCATCTTCCAGTACCAGGTCAAGAGGAATCCACAGTGCAGAATGGGTAGAGCCGTGACAGAGAGATGCTGGGGAAGAAAGATATTCAAAAGCCGTGGCTTTATGGAACCTTTGTTGTGAACTTGTTTTGCATTCTCGAGACAAGATGATGGTGGTATCTGAAGTCAATTCGAGAAGTGCCTCAGGACTAAGAGTTCTTGAATTTCTCAATACTAATGAATGATCTGCCAGCAGCTTCAGTCGCTGAACAAGACTCAGCCAATGCTTAGGCCTGATAAAAATAGCATATAGGTGCTAAGCTGAATTCCAATCATGCAAGAAGATCCACATAAAGGACATATAAATATTGTCCATGATTTCACTGAAATTGTTAAACCAACAAGGGAGAAGTTTAATTGTAAATAAATATTTAAGAACAAATACTCACAGATTTTTGCGGGCTAAGTAAAGGAGCCTAGAACATGTTTTATCCTGAAGAAATTGACCAATCATCTCAATAGCCAAAAGGGTATTTGCATTCTGCATTCTCTCAAACTTCTCAGTCTTCTTAATATCAACATCATAGTTCCCGTGCCTATATTGATCCAATTCTCTGTATATCATTTCCCATTTGGAATTCTTTTCAGGAATAAGTTCCAGCAGCCCTTCATCTTCCAATGATGCATCAAGCAACTGCCAGACAATTGAAAAAACGAATTCAACAACCAAAACGCCAGGCTCCCTTTGTGACAGGTCAAATATCTGCGAAAGATGAAGAACAGCATCTATGGATTTCATGACCCTGTTCAAAGCAGAAACAGAAGCATTGAACAAAGAAACAAATCACATCATTAAACAGAATAGTCTATTATATCATACTGTGAAAATCATATCGAAGAATATTAAACAGAGCGTATATTATTGTGAAACAAAATAACATGAGTTGTAGAATTTAATATTGTCCATGAGAGTAGATTTTGTTTTAATATTATCCTCTCAAATTATATCACATACTCTTGGGCTCATCCTATGCCTCATTAGCACGCTCCATGAAAGATGAGAAAGTGATCCTGATGGTTCGGTACATCTCTCACAGACCATAATGCAACCAACCTCATAAGGAACAAAAATCTTTACATCATTGCAAAAGAAAATTTCGAACATGTAAACAAGGCGAAGCAAAAGAACTATTTCAAACCAAGAGAAGCAAAATAGAAGAACTAAAAAGCTTACTTTAGATAGGTCGGCAGCTTTAGCTGATATTTAAGTTCAAAAGCTTGTCTTTTGAGGAGTTCCATGTATAGCCTATATGCTCCAGGTTGGAAATGTCGGCATGGAATAACCCTGCCGATAAAATAGGAACATCAATTTGACTCATTTTTCTTTCTTATCCATAACGATACCATATCAGCATTTGCCTTCAATTTACAAATGTGCAAAACAAGACCAAGAAGGAAAAGAAAATTGAGCAAACGAAGGATAATAAAACAAACCTAACTGAAAGCAGAGCAAGAACAAGCAGAGGAGGCGCGATCTTGAACGTGAAGGCTTTCTCTAGAAACTTCCACATAATGGGAACATTATTTTCCCAGCAAATGTAAGAGACTAATACGTCGGCGAACTCCGCCGAAGGCAAGGACTCTCCCGCCGAGTTCAAATTCGAACTTATATGCATTGCCCAAACCACAGGATCACTACCCTTTTCTTGCGCCGCCTTCGTCAGCTCCACGACGCCGTCCCATAGGCTCCCTACGGCGGAAACCTCCATGACCACGCCACCGTCGGAGATTCGGCTACCGTTTCGCTTCGCCGGTGGAAAGAAATCCGAGTGAATCTTCTACGGATGGTGCGATAGATGGAGTGCGTCCTATATGCCTGGCAAACACTTAACCGTTTCCATTTTCAACAGTGCTTTCAACATTTCATGCATGGTTTGGAATAGTGGGGAAATTCTCAAGGAAAATGTTAGAATTAAAGATAAATAAATTTCATGCATATTTCTTCGTTAGTTTCCAAATTAGTCTCAGAATTAATGAAAAATGTTACCATACCCTGTTCTTGCTATAAAAATAAAAGCTATTTAACCAATTTTGATAGATTAAAAAAATTATAATAGACGTAAAATATTTAAAATTCATATTAGTTTATAAGTTAGTAAATTTTGATTCATGAGAAAAAAAATAAACATGAGAGAATTAAAATGTAATCTGATTTTGTAATTAACTCTTATAGTAACAACAATGAAAAGTATAAAATTTCTTATACAAGTTAAGTATGTAAATGAAAATATTTATGGATAATTAATAAATTGATTAGGTAAATAGGTAAAGAGAGTAAAGTTGTCGGGGTGGCGGGCCTTTCATTCTCTGAGTGGTTAAGTTAGGTAAAGATGGTGACTTAGGTTGCTTTGCGTCCTCGCTACCTTAGTGGGCCCAACCTCCTGAGTATATATTTTCGCTTTTCTTCTACAAGTTTTAAATTTGAGATTTTATTTGAAACATATTGAGATCATTGTCTTGTTTACCAAGAGATCATTGTTAATACTGTCAATAATTACAAATTTAAATAGTCTATTTAAAGTATGAGAATAGCTTAGGTGATAAAGATAGATGAAATTGGACGTGGTCAGAAGTTAAAAATTTAAACCTCAAAAAATTACACTCAGTTTCCAAACAAATTTAACTATCCTAAAGTTCATTGATAATTGAAGAGCATACAATGATAAGTTTTAAAATAGAAAATAACAATAGGTTCATGCTGATCATGTGTTATTAGGATTTCTTGGTAATTAAATTCTTTTTTTTTAATACCTAATGGTAATTCTCCTTAAATCTTCCTCCTATATTTAAAAAAAAATTCCTTTGATTATAAATATAAAAGAAAAATAAATGATTTGCAAATATTTATGAAATTAATTGAGTTATTTATTTGTATAAAATATTTTTTGGTTTCTCTGAAAACTCATTTAATCATTTGTATTAAAAACTTCTCTATTGATAGAAATCTCCTCAACTTATCTAAAGATTTGAATATTGATAGAGTACAATAATATCAGGTACTCCATGTAGTTGATCTTACCTAATAGGATAAGACTTGTTATTGTTATTGATCAAGATCTCCCTTTAATATATGAAATAAGAAGGATAATTCAGAAAATTAATTATATATTTAAAACATAAAATGAATTGATATCTTACATTTAGAATTAAAATAACTATATACTATTTCTGGTCTTAATTATAAAATTTTGTTTGTGAATTGATATCTTACATTTAGAATTAAAATAACTATATACTATTTTTGGTCTTAATTATAAGATTTTGTTTGTAGACTACAAACGAGATCTTATAATTAAAACCGGAGGTAACATTTAGGATTGAAGGCCATGTAAGATGAGTTTCGATTTCGATATTTGATGAGCTACATTGCGCAAAATACAAAATCAAAAGAATGTGTAGCACTATTCGTTATTTAATTTGTAAATAATATAAGTTATAAATACATTCACAAAAAAAAATATAAATTATAAATAACATCAACTTGTCATATTTTAAACTTTTAAATGAACAAAAATTGAAAATATATATAGATTAGAATCATGTTGTTTTCATTTTTTCAATGTACCTAAATTCCTAGGTAGGAAGCTTTTAAAAGAGTTTGATGTCTTTTGAAAAAAATTTTAAAAAAAATGAAAGAGAAGTGGACATTATTATTTAATTAAAATAAATAAATGTAGATTCATGGGCTCTGCAGGTAATGACGCAACTTTCCTTGCCGGAGAACATGATAGCAAACCCCCTTCCTTAAAAAAGGAAGTTTGTACATCAAACATAATTATTAACTCTCATAGACTTACCATTTTTACATGAAAACATGTACGAGTATTTCTTAAAAATATGTTTTCTCCTATGCAAAATGTATAAACTGGATAAATAATTTGTAAATATAAAAAAATAATTAATTTAGTTATTATAGGTAAAAGAATGCGTATGACTTACATTGAAATCACCCAAATAAAAACTCCTTTGATATGTGTAATTAATATGAATAGTTTGAAAGAAAAAAATTATTAAATTAAGGAGACAAAATAAATTGAGATCTTATATTAGGATTAAAATAAGCCCTTGATGACTTTTTATATTTACAATCAGAAGAGATACTTATTTAAACAATCTAATTCCTAAGTAATTGAAATGTAGTATATGATTCTTGAATATTTTTTTTCCCCAAAAGAATAACAATACTAGTTTGTAGAAGCCATATTAGACCTGATTAATCTATATCAAATCGGGTTGATAGGTGTAAGATCCTCACACTAATAGTTTTCTTAATTTACAAGACTCAAACTCGCGAATTTATGAGAAAACAAAGCAAAAAAACTTTTTGAATCAGTTGCCTATGGTGTTTTTAAAAAATGTTTAAATATTTTCTTAATTAAGGTATGGATATTTCAAAAAAAAAAAAGTCTTCTCTGATCGGAGCGGAATCTTTGCATTGTGATGAAGTAAGAGTATTTGAGGAAGCATGAAAAGCATTATTATCAAATTTTAATATAGCAGATAATTCATGGGTGATGTCTATTTACGAGTTAAAAAAAAAGTGAGGCAGCATGTTATATGAAGACTCAAAGACTCTTGGTATTAGGAACACACAATTTAGTGAAAGTATTAATTCATTCATTAAAAGTTGTACAAATCCTAAATGGAATATCAATCAATTCTTTGAAGCCTTTGAACAGGCTGTTGATTTTAACTCACGTCAAAAATTACCGAGGTTAATTTTGAAGAATTCAACTATGCTTCAACAACTTTCTCAAGTTTACACTCCTCCACTTTTTGACTTGTTCCAGCAAGAGCATGATTTGCGTGATGCTACCTGCATAAAAGAGAGACAAGAAAGAAAGATAAAAGAAGATGATGATAATGCTATTATATTTGATTATGTCATCACAGGGATTGATAAAAAGGGAGAGTGGACATTGACATTTGAACCACCAAGAGAAGAGAAGGAGGCTACTATTACTTGTAGTTGTAAGAAGTTTGAACAATGGGAAATATTATGTTGTCATGCACTGAGGATATTATACGACTATGATATCAAGCTACTTCCACATAAGTATATTTCAAAGAGGTAGACAAGAGAAGCAAGGTGTGGTGTGGTGTGGTGTATGATAACAAGGGAAAGAAAATTGAGGTTGATCTTAAATTAGAATGCTCAAATCAATATAAGCAATTGTGTCCAATGATGATAAAATTAGCAAGTGATGCATCTGAGTGTCCAGAAACATTCTTTATGGTTCATCAAGCAGTGCTAGAACTTAGTAATAAAGTGTCTGCACTTCTTATTAGACACTCATCAAATGGTGTTTATCAATGAAGGTGATGTTGATAATAATGATGTTGAAGTCAGAAGACAGCATTTGAATGCAATAGTTTAATATATTTTTTTAAAAAAGATGTTAAATGCTGCATTTTATGTAAATGGAGGCTCAATAGAGAGGCTTGTCAATAGAGAGATCTCGCGCCGCTCTCCGATGCGTTATATTCTCTAAATATAAGAGCTAAATAATTCATGTACCAATATTAACATAATTAATGAGCTAATTATTTGTCAAAAAATATATGTTTGTTTATTTAAAACACTTCTCTTTACATATGCACAATTAATTAATTAATAGGGATAACTTAAGAAAAAAATTTATAAATTTAAAATACAGAATGTGTAGAGTTTTTATATTTAAAGTTTAAAAAAAACACTGTAACTCCCCTATATTAAAAAAAAAAAAACGTTACATGCTTTCAATCATAACGTGATTATAAGTAATTATAATACAATTATCAATTATGGCATTAAATTTTAACTTAAAGATAATGAATAGATCATATTTAATTTCCACCTAATTATATTTTATTGCTTTTTCCCACTCTGGTTTCAAATCTGGGCCAGGCGTAATCGCATCGATCCCAATATGATCACACTAGATATGATCGTACAAGTGATCTGAACTTTTAAGGGCAAAAGTAGATATTTGAGAACAGAGATGAATGATGAAGCATGCCGCATGCAAGGAAGGAAATGATGTTTGATTATAATTTATAGCCATATTTATTTAATTACATTATAATTCCTCATCCGCACAAAGTTTGGAATGGATATATGGCCACATGTGTTTTTAAGGCTCAAGATTCTCTTGCTTTCACCATTTATTATAATTTTAAACGCTAAATCAATACATTTTTTTTTTTAAAGAACAATGAGGCTCATTACTCAGAAAATAATACAAGACTTGCATGAATTAATTCTTTTTTTTTTTTAAGATACCACCTAGTATTGTAGTTCTGGTAGAAGTGATATATATATATATACATATTTGTTAAAAAAAAAATCAATACATATTTATAGGAGTGCTTATAGAGCCCGGTTACTTCATATGCCTACTCAAGCCCACAAAAAAAAGCCCCGTCCACTCTAAAAAAAATGGCCCAAAAAATGTTGGGTATGTTTAGGCCAGGCAAATTGTCAGGTAGGACAGGCATCAGGTACAATATGCAGCCCTACCCGTAAAAACATATATAATTTTATTTATATGTATTTTTTATTTGCACCATATTTACCTTTTGAATCAAATGTACTATTGTATCATTGTTTAGTGTTCACTATATTGATTTATTTTCAAATAATTCTGAGAATTAGAGGTCTTATCATTTATTGGGATATGTATAGCTATTCTCTTTTTTAATGCAAACATTATGACCATTAGCAATTTGTATATTGGTCATTTATTTTGAGCATGACTTTGATGTAATGCCTATGGAAGGATAATTGAATTATCTTGAAATCTGTTTTGCTTCTTGTTTTTCTAAAATTGCTGTCTCTGTTT